GCAGCAACTCCACAGTCCCAGTCTCGGAAACCCACAGTGGTCACTGTGAGTCATTGACTCCAGGGCAGTGAGTGTAGAGTTTTCGGTGAGCCACAGTCACCCAGCTGGTCCCACGCCTGGCCAGGGGTGGGAGCACTCATGCCCTGTCCTGGCAGTGGCCCCCCGAGGAACCACCACCACACAGACACACCACCACCACCACTACCACCACCCCAAGGCCTGCTTGCCCAGGGCAGAAACTCCAGCCAGAGGCAGCAGGAGGCCCGGTGGAAACCTGAGCAGCCATGCCCTTCCTGCACCACCAGCACCAGCACTAAGCAGCTGGCCCTCAGACGCCTGCTCCTGCCCTGGCAGGTGTGCGCCTACCTGTCCGACCAGTTTCAGAACTCGATGTGCACAGCAGGTGCCAAAGAACAAACAGCTCGGCCTGGCCACCCTCTGGGGCCTCCATGGGAGAACACGGAGGCCCTGTCCCATCCCCACTCCCCTCACTCAGGAGGCAGAGACCCCTGGTGTGACCAGAGCCCCTGCATGTGAGAAGTTCCTGGTGGGCAGCCCTCTTCCACGCCCCACTCAAGCTGGAGGTCAGGAGTGGGAATGAGTCATCGAGGGCTTGGGGGGGGGGGGCGCCCAGCCTGTGACCCACGTCACGTGCTCTAGATCACAAGCGGCTGCTCTCAGGCCGCCTCACAACCGCCTCGCCGAGGCGGAAGAGCAGCCTCGGGCTGGTCCTAAGCCGCCCTGGGACGGGACAGCTAGCTGGCCACCCTCCTCCACCACACTCAGCACTTCTACCCAGGTCACTTCCCCACCCAGGCACCTCCCTCAGACATGCAGGGCGGCAGGGAACCAGGGGGAGTCAGGGTCCAGCCAGCCCAGGGCCTTGCAGAGGCCACTCAGCCCAGGGTGGTGGCGCAGCAGGCCTGGCCTCAGCCCTCTGGGCTGACCACTTGTGCCCAGAAGGGAAGCAGTGGGCGATGGGAGCCTCCACGTCTGTCTTCCTCTTCCCGTGGGGAAGCACTACTGCCAGGAAAGCAGGCCTGTCGGGTCACCTGCACTGGGGATGGCAGGGAAAGCTCCTCCGAGGCTGTGGGAACCCCACCACCTCCCCACCCCAACCCGGCGGGGGGGCCTGATAGAGGCTCTCAGACTCAGGTAGGCACCCCAGTCACAACAGAGCCCCTCAAGCAGGGGCTGGAGGAGCAGACCCCTGGCTGCCTTCTCCCTCCCATGGCACCTCCTCAGCCTGCGGCCAGGCACTTCTTGGGGAACCGCCTCTCTGCCTCCACATTCACCAGCTCCCCTGTCACCCCTGGCCTGTGGGGCCTTATCACCACAGCAGACGCAGCAGCAACCCCTCCATCACCCATCCCCAGAAGACACCTGCCCCACAGCCGGGCCCTTGAACAGATGGATTATTGCCAGCCCAACTCCCACCCCGGCCAGAGACCAACCAGTTCCCCACTGCCCCACCCTGCTTCAGCCCCGAGGCCGGCCACCCCACCTCCACCCCGCTGTCTTCCCCGTCACAGGGCTACCAACTGCTCATTGTCCAAGCTCTGCGGCGTCACCCATGACCCCCCACAACTCAGGTTCAAGGTCTCACAGCCACCACCTGGCCAACTTAATCCCTCTCCTCAGTGAGACACAGCAACTCCGCCGGCCCACAGCCTGCTCTATTCCCCACGCAGCACCCCCACCTCACAGTGACATCTCCTGGGGAAGCTGCCACTGGTCCTCCCTGTCTCAGCCCACAAGCCATCACCACCCTCACCCCTACTGAGCAGGCGGGCCAGCCAGCCACTCCCACCCCCTCCTGGGCAGACTCCACCCCAGCCTCTGTCTATAATACAGTCACTCTATATCAGCGGCTGCCATCCTGCCCAGCTCCCTCCTTGCCTCCTCACCCTGCCCTCAGCCTTCAGCCCAGAAAGGGCAAATCAGCCTGAAAATGGAAAATGCAACTTTAAAAAGGCTCCCTCCACACTCACTCACGGTGACCCCATCGCTGTCAGCCAAGGAGAACTGTGCTCCAGAGTTTCGGAGGCCGATCTTGGGGGAAGTAGATGCTCAAGCACCTTGCTAATTGCCATGGGCAGTGGGACCCTTAACTGTCTCTAGCATGTGGGCCCCACCTGAATGACAGCAGCTGCAGGTGACCGAGGCCTGACCCACGGCGGGCACTGTCGAGGACTATCTCCTGCATCCTTACACAGGAGCCCCACCATCTGCGGAGGGAGTGGCCCGGAGGCCAGAGCAGGCAGGACTTCCTCCACCGCAGACAGCTGCGCACTGGCAGCTGCTCCCCTCCCGGGAGCCTGCAGACCAGAACCACCCCTTCCCAACCTGGCCAAGCCTGTCCCCCAGCCCCCCACTGCCCCTCCAGCCCATACAGGGGTCACCCCTCCTCCCCTCACACCATCGTCAGACCCCACACTTCCTCTCTCCAGCTTCTTAAGCAGGTGGTCTTTTGACTTAAGCATGTTTCCATCTGTGTGACCCCACCCTGAGCCCCCAAACCGACCCCCCCCCCTGACTCTCCCTGTCCTGGAAACTTCTGAAGTAGAAACACTCAGGCCCCAACTCCAGAACCAACCCTCTGCACCAAAAACAACAACACAAATTCACAGCCATCGAGTCCATATTGACTCACAGCAACCCCATGTAGAGCGCAGAACTGCCCTGTGAGTTTACAAGGACACTGTACACCGGAGAGGAATGCAAAGCCCGTCTGCCTCCCTCTGTCCCCGCGCCTACAACCACCCACATTGCCTTGATCCTAACAACAAGGACAACAGTCACCGCAGGCTTTTGTGTGCTCACCTGACCAAGCCCTGGTCATCCACTACCGTTTTTTAAGCCTTTCATGAACCTGGGGCACGGGCGCTATCACCCATTATCACAAGCGAGAAAACTGAGGAGGAAAGAAATGGCGCTCACAAGGTAGGCAAGAGGCCCAGAGCCTCTGCCCCTGAGCACACCCCACTCAGTCTCTCCAGATCCCCTTTCTGCCCCAACCCCATGGACTGGATGCAGCACTGTGGCCAGAGTCAGGGCCCCCTCTTCTCGGCCTTGCTCTCAGTGCCCCCAAGCTCTCCTTCCCATCCCAACTGACCACCTCTCCCCTAGGCCTTGAGCTATAAAGACCTGTGGACTCTCCATGCCCGTTCTTCAATTACCCACCTTTCCTGTAACAGCACCCAGCCCGACACTCAGGGCAGCTCCCTGTGTGTTCACGAACCCCCACCTCCTCCTCCAGCCCAAAGACGGACAACTGCAAACCAAATGCTAGAGGGCCATACGTAGCGGGTCAGCTCCCTCTCTTCCTGTGCTCTACTCCAGTGAGACCCTTTCTCTGGCACAGAAACGGATCCAACCTAGCTGTCCACTTCCCCCATGTCCACCATCCGCAGTGACTTTTGGTGTCCTCAGCCCCACGGGCCCAACATGCTCCTCCAGCCACCTTTTCGGTGCCAACACGGACCCTGCCTTCGAACCCCTCCCCTCACCAGCTCCTCAGGGACCTGTCAAACCCCAACACCACCCCCTGCCTCTCCTCACCAGCAGCAAGTCCCCCTCCTGAGCTGGGGGTGCTGGCTACCGCCGAGCTGCTTCCCACTGCGGTGGCCCCACGTGTGCGCAGTCAAACTGCTCCGTGGGGTTCGCAGCCTGTGACCTTGCAGGAGCAGATCGCCAGGCTTGTCTTCACAGGCACTTATGAGTGGGTTCGAACCTCCAACCTTCAGGCTCCTAGTGAGCCCTTCACCCTGCGCACCACCACCCAGGTGGTCTGATCCAGTAATAATCTCTTGATCTGATAATAATCCCCCTTGATCTGATAATAATCTCCAGCTCTTTCCAGGAATAACTGTGAAAAAAGGAAGTAGACCCTTCTATGACCAGGCATCGGAACAACCCACATCTTTTTGCCCGGTCCTCTTTTTTTTTCAGTGGGCAGAGAGGGCCTACTGGGAGTTTTCTTCTTTTGAATACCAAGATCCAAGGCCTCTTCCGGCTCTCTAAACCACCCTCATCTTTAAACACCAAACCAAACAAAAAACTCTGCCACTGAGTCAATATTGAGTCACAGTTAGCCTATAGAACGGGTAGAACTACCCCTGAATTTCCAAGACTGTAAGGCTGAAAGTCCTGCCTTTCTCTGGAAAAGCTGCTGGTGGTTTTGAACTGTTGACCTTTCAGACTATGCCACGAAGGCTCCTAATAATGACCATCAACTTTGCTCCTTTCCTGGGCTTAAGCAGGGCCCAGTGGTGTAAGGAGCTAGCTACAATGAGCCGCCAACCTAGCACCTTGCTTGGTTTGAACCCACCAGCTGCTTAGCAGGAGAAAGACGAGGCCGTAAAGATTTAAGTCTTGGAAATCCAAAAGGTTGTTTGTTTTAAACTCCGACGCTCTATTTCCCCAACTTCAGGAGTTGGGCCCCTAGTGGCATAGTGAGCTTCCCACTGGGCTGCTAAGCACAAGTTCGCAAGTTCGAACTCACCAGCCCTTCTTCGGGGCAAAGATGAGGCTTTCTGGCCCCTGGGAGATTTGCATCTTCGGAAATCCACAGGAGCAGTTCTACTTTGTCCCTGAAAGCTTGCCCCTGAGTCGGCATGGGCACGCAGACAGGGAGTTTGAGGTTTTCCTACACCCACAATCCAGCTTAATCCTTCTTCCTCCTCCAGCCAAGAGAATGACACACATTTCCACCCTGGGCTGACCCAGGCGTGCTAGCACCTTCCTGCCATCCCCACCGGCCGGGGCCCGACTCAGCCCCCGCTGACCGTCTCCTCCGTGACCGCCCTTCTCTAGCCTTCGCAGGGGACCTGAACCAGGTGTGTTTGACCTCCCAGTATTGTCAGCACCCTCTCCCCTACCCCCACTTCAGCTCCGATCGTCCTCAGGTGCAACTTAACGAGCTCCACCTCCGTGCGAGCGCGGCACTGACCCCTCACGCCTCCCCGCTGGCCCGCCGCGCCCGCCCCCGCCGTCGCTACCGTGTCTCCATGGATCTTTGGGCTCCACCGCTCCGGACACGATATCCTCGTCGGACGGGAACGTGACGCGCTTGGCTGCAGCCTTGAGGCGACCGTCGGCCGGGGGCG